AAACAGGATGTGATGACGTCCGGGCAGGTGGGCGGAGCCTCCTGCAGCCGCTGCTACCAATTCGCCCAAACCGGTTAGAACCAGCTGAATTCCACCACTGCTCGGCAACCAATGACGTATTTATGATGGCTGCAGCGTCCCGGCCTTGTGTGATCGCCACTTGCGGCCTTCCCAGCTGGCATTCCGACGAGCAAAACCCATGAGGGAAGCCGGATTCACTTAACGAGCACAATATTTCACTTTAAAGAACTGCAGCGGTTCGCTTACTTACTGTCCGCGGCACATAAAGGCAGTAAAATTGGATGTGGCTCATTGAACAAGCACCCTTTGTTCAGGGACAGAAATTCAATCCCGATTGTGTCGTAAGTCAAGGACTACCAGCAGTGTTTAAAAACGGGGGTGACATTGCCCCATTTTTGAAAGTCTTGCAGGACAACGAGGAAACACCAAGAGAAGATGATGTAATTTAAAAAAATATATATCAAATTTTAATAATAATTTGTTTCTGGAATTCTGCACTTTGATACGGCCCAAGGACTAATCAATAAAGATTGAATTGAATAAAAGAAAATTATTAGATTGCGCAGAAATGGATAGACTGACATTAAAGATAAAAGAGAAGGAAGATGCAGAATATTTTCAAATAATGGGATTTGTTTTTTTTTGTTTTTTTAAATGGTTGGATAAATAGAATAGAAATTAGGAGATGGGAAAATTTTGTTATGTAAGCAACTGACTCAGACAATACACTGTTCACAAAACACATATATATGTTAATTGAAAATGTATAAATAAACTATATTTATTATATATTATATTTATTTTATATTATAAAATAATTTTATATTATAATATAAAATAAAAATAATATATAATAAATATATATAAAAAAGGAAGTCTTGTGGGACACATGCGAGTGGTTGGCTTGTAGGCCAATTTTTACTGGATAAAATTCTCTGCTGGCCAACCACATCTGATGAAGCTTCTTCTCTCCAAGTAATTTTGGAATGGTGGATCAATTTCCTGAGCCATCCAGAGGTCCCAGCCCTTGACTTCCCTTCCCTCTTGATGACTCATGCTTTTTATGAATCTTTCTGGAATGTAACTCAAGAATTATCTTTATAAGTCTCCCGGGAAGGGAAAACAACCCATATTTCTTTTAATCTCTGAAGAAGACCTTGGACTCTGATCTGGCTGGTTGATGGGTAAATATTATTGGAGGAAACATCTCAGCAACTTATTGTTGAACTCAAGGCTGTTGAGTTTCTCGCTTTTGTGGTCCTTGCAATCTTGTGGGTGCTCCATCACTCAAGGTTTTCAAAGGCAGACCGGACAACCATTTGATTGGAGTGCTACTATAAGGTTTCTTGCCTTGAGCCAAAGGGGTTGGACTAGAAGGCCTCAAAAGTCCCTTCCAGCTCTAGGATTCTACCTGGAGTTGCAACCATGAATTTTTCTGCTGCTGGTTTGGAGCAAAGGAACCGTTCTCATATCTCCTAGACTTGATTAATTTTACTTTAACTTCCTATCAGCTGGGCTTCCCAATTGATTTATTTATCCATCATATTTAGGTTGCTCAACTGACCAGTGGAATAGCTTGCCTTCAGAAGTTGTAGGTACTCCATCCATCCATCCCGGGAAGCTTTCAAAAACAGACTGGACAACCATTTGTTCTATGCTGTTGGAGTCCAGTTAAGATAAGATAACCTTCATTGTTATTTTTTTCTCCACGCACAATGGCGGTGTGTGAAAAAAACAACAACAGGGTGGGTTGAGTGGAAACTTCTGGTGATCTTCTCTGGAAGGTCCTCCCCTCCGTCGCGAAGGCCTCCTGAAGAAGGATCGAGGCGTATTTTTCATTCTTCCCGGAACACCACGAGATAAAAGGCCTAATTGTGTTGACTTAATGTGTTCTTGGATGCTGTTGGTTTTTCTTCTCCGGCATCCGGCCAAAACTCTTCACCAAAAAAGAAGCCGATGGGCTTTCGGCAGAAGGTCAGACGAGGAGAAAAAAGGACTTTCTTTAGCTCAGGAAAACGAGGCCAATTTACACAATTTACACACACTGACACCGGGGGTTGTCAGCTCTTCCGAACAGCCTCCTCCTCCTCCGAATTTATTGTCGCTGATCCTATCGGGAGTTGCGAAGGGTTAGACAACAGGGGTGTTTTGACAGCTCTGTTGGAAAGCAAAGTTGTCTTGCCAGTTTTGAAGAGCGAGATTGCAACCTTGGCTAGCCAGCTGCGTGCAGCAACAGCGAAAGGGTGTGTGAGTGTGTGTGTGAGAGAGAAGGAAATTCTGGAATGGCTCCTTGTGTTTTTTATTTTGCGGTGGAGGGGCTGTGAAGGCCCCGTTTGCTATCAGTCGGTCGTACCGGGAGTAAAATCCAGCAGGTTCTGGAGAACTGGTAGCGGAAATTTTGAGTAGTTTGGAGAACTGGCAAATGCCACCTCTGGCTGGCCCCAGAGTGGGGTGGGAATGGGGATTTTGCAGTATCCTTCCTCTGGAGTGGAGTGGGAATGAAGATTTTGCAGTATCTTCCCCTGCCACGCCCACCAAGCCACGCCCACTGAACCGGTAGTAAAAAAAAAAATTTGATTTCACCACTGAGTCGTACCACCTTTGTCAAACCCGGTTTCTTCCAGTTGCCGGATGTAAGCTTCGATCTCTGGCGGAAAAATAATTAGAATTAGAAGAATAAGATATCTAAGACACTTTCTCTACTTTTGGGGTATGGAGGGGTGTCTGTTGGTGGCATCTTTGGTACGTTGCTGGTGGGAATGGATAGGGTAGAGATTTGCACTGGAAAGAAAGAAAGAAGGAAGGAAAGAAAGAAAGAAGAAAAAGAGAAAGGGAAGGAAGGAAAGCAAAGGAAGAAATAGAGAAAGGGGGGTGTGAGGAAGGAAGAGAAGAAAGGTAAAAGAGGAAGGAAGGAAAGGATGGAGGAAGAAAAGGAAAAGGTGTAAAGGAAGGAAGGAATGACATCCAGTTTTTTCAGGGCAGTAATATAAAAAATAATAATTATCTTCTTCATTATTTGCTCTGCATTATAACTTGTTTCTAGGACAACAAACTCATTCTGATCCTCAAAACTTTCATTCATTTCCCCCCCCCCCGGTGTATGCAGGCTAAAGTTTCCAAGCAGAAAAGAACTTTAATGAAACTTTGGACTCGCGCTGGGTGGGGAATTCGGTAAAAGTTTATCCGAAGAAATCACTGCTGTTCTCGACCTTCGGCAGAGAAAACCCGACATTAGTGGTTACGCCACAAACCCACTTCTCGTATTTTGATCTCTCTGGTTAACGTAGGAAACCCTCAATGGGGCTTACTCTTGAGTCAACCTCCCGTGAATCGAGCCTGCAGGCTGCATAATTTTCTCGGGGGGGATTTCATCCTGACCACAGACCATTATGCTTGGAACAGAATACATTAAAAAAAAACCTGCCTTTTTTTCTCTCTCTCTTTTTTTTACACCTCTGTTGGAAGGATTTACCCCTAAATAATAAAACTGGGCAAAAACAGCATCTCTTAAATCAGTGTTTTCTCAAACATGGGCCCTTTAAGAGGTGTGGACTTCAACACCCAGAATTCCCCAGCCAGGAATTCTGGGAGTCCACACCTCTTAAAGGGCCCACGTTTGAGAAACACAGTCTTAACAAGTGTCTGGAATTCTTCGCAGTTTCAGACTGTTACGGGTCGTTCTGGCTAAGGGTATCCGGCAGGGGAGCATGGGTCCCCCTGTGGCCACAAGTCCACCCTGCAAGGTGAGCGTTGTAAAACCGGGAAAAGTTTGCAAGAGAGTTGCTCTGAATTTGCTCTGCCAGCAGCCCTCCAAATTCCCAGGAATTCCTTGGTATTTCTCCAGGAGGGGGGGGGGTGACCCCTGTTCTCCCTATATCATATTAAGGGGGGGCTTCCCCAGCTGTTCCCCCCCTCACCCTCCTCCTCTTCCTCCACCTTCTCCTTGCTGTGGCCTGCAACCGGCTGCCACACCTCCAACGTGGCAGACAGCCGATAGGAATGACTCACCTATACCTGCCAGATCTTGGCTGGCTGCCTTTTCCGCTGCCATATTTGGCAAAGTTGCAGTATCCCACGTGTTAACTTTATTTGTTTGCCCGATGGTTTCTGGAGATACGGAGGCGATGACGCCGTTTAGAAGGTGTCATTCCATTACGGCTGAGGATAAGGAAAACTTGTCTACGTCTCTTCCCGCTCGAGCGTAGTTTTAAATGGGCACGAGGATTTTTTTTTTTCTTCCGCCTTCCTCATCTGGAGGTCAAAATGCTTTATGGAAGTCGCAACGGGGCAGTTGCTCTTAGATGGCCCTGGCCCCCTCTCTGCCTCCGATGCAGAGCCCTTGTCCGAGCCTTCTCCAGGCTCCAGGACTGGCCCACGTTCCTCCCCAGCCTCCTCACTGTCCAACTCCGCTGCCAGCGGACCACAACAGTAACCTGTGTCAGATTTGACAACCTGGTTGTTAAGTGAATCTGGCTTCCCCGTTAACTTTGCTTGTCAGAAGGTCGCCAAAGGGGGAGGGGGGGTCATGTGATTTCCGTCGAGAACTACCTGCATTAGCCATAATCAAGGGGTGGGCAGGAGCCGTAGGAAGCTGCGGGATCCATCAGCGTTGGATGAGAACATCTGGTGGGAGACACCTGGCACGCTAGGCAGCTCATTTGCATAGGGAAATGAGGTTCCCACGCCTAATTTCAGTCACGGCCTGATTTGAATATCATTTTTAATCTTGCCTTGGTTCTCCTCCGTCTCTCCCACCATTGGCGTGTTGCAAACGGCAAAGTCTTTGCCACGGAAAATTATCTTTTTTTGCATTCTCTTCCTCTCCCAGACCTAAACTATAGAGAAATATTTTCCCTTTCTGCTTAGAGACGCCCCCTGAGTGGAACAGCCGATAATTTAAAATAAATATGAATACATTTGCATGAGCCAAACGCTGCTAACTGCCTCTCTTTCCATCTCCCCCTTTATGGTGACTCCAGGACAGCGTCAAAGTCTTAAGGCTGACCCTGCAGAATGACCTTCCGGGAGACCGACCAGACCAAGTAAAGCAAAAGGTGAGTCTGTGCGCTGATCAGCCCTGCAAGGTAGGCTTGCCCCGTTTCTGCAACCTTCGTTCTGTTTTTGCCGAATTTCAGCAGCTGGAAAGCTCCGTCTCAGTCGAGGTGGTCCAAGCTGGGTCCCCTTTAAGACTTGTGGACTTCAACTCCCAGAATTCTTCAGTCCGGGGAATTCTGGGAGTTGAAGTCCACAAGACTTAAAGCGGCCGAGGTCGGACGCCGTTGGTCTAAACAAAATCGGGATGAGTTCCTTGCTCGCTCCAACCTGGAGGGTGGGGAAGGGGTGCATTTTGGGGTCTTTGCTGGCTTTGAACCGCCCCTTCTCTTATCTCCCCCCCCTTAACGCGCTCTCTGTGTTTTCTCACCGCAGCCGGTGGGAAGAGCCTTCGCCATGGTGGCCAACCGTCCCACGAGCAGCCACGCCCTGGCGTCCGAATGCGTCAAGTCTAACGAGGGGGACGAGGAGATAATTAAGGTGAGGGGCTTCCCGGGCGATGAGAACATGCCAGACCTCCTAACCCTTCCCTTCCTTCAGCCTTGTCCACCCATCTTCAAGCTTCCAAGGTGGAGAAACACTGGACTAAATGAACCGTTGTGTGAACCGAGGACTTCCCGCATTTAATTTTTTTTAAAAAAAAAGAAAAGAAAAAAAGCCCAGGAAGAAAACAAAAGTTTTGTTTTTGTTTTCTTTTCTTTTCTTTCTGCCTCCTTCCTGGCTTTCCAGCTCTGGAGTTTCGCCTTCGAAACTTCTTGCAAAAAGGAGACGATTCTGCAAGGAAGGTTTTGTGTGCATTGAACGGGCCCCCCCTGGGGTGCCATTTTGTTCGCAGAACCGGTGCAGCCTGCTTTTTCGGCTGCTCAGTGTGTGTGTGTTTTTTTCCAAGCTCCCTGCCTCCCGTTCTCTTAATTCCAAGTTTTGTGCACTGTTGCGGCACAACCCCAGGAAAAATCGGTCTTGCCCAGTCTGGCTTCCCCCCCACCTCTCTTTCCTCTCCCTCCCTCCCTCCCTCTCTCTCTCTCTCTCTTTTTCTCCTCCTCTCTTTCTTCTTCTCTCTTTTTCCTTCTCTCTCCCTTCTTCTCTCTCTCTCCTCTCTCTCTCTGTCTCTCTCCTCTCTTTCTCCTTCTCTCTCTCTCTTTCTCCTCTCTCTCTCTTTCTCCTCTCTCTCTCTCACTTTTTCACCTCTCTTTCTCCTTCTCTCTTTTTCCTTCTCTCTCTCTCCTTCTCTCTCTCCTTCTCTCTCTCTCTCTCTCTCTCTCTCTCTTCAATGGGTGTTTCTCTCCTGTTGTGACTCAGGTGTACCTGAAAGCCCGGGCCGAAGACAGGGCGAAGCACGAAAACGGGCCCCCTCCGTTGACAAACGACAACTGTCATCCGCCAGAGGTAATTTGACGCCTCTCGTCCTGGCACCCCAGCCAGCAAAACAGGGAGAGGCCGGCTGCCGATAGAAGCTGATGTTTGGAGGTGGGGGGGAAAAAAAATCTGAACTTCTCTTCCCTTGGCTGCTATGGACCAAGTTTGCAAACTTGTCCTGGCCTGCTGGTTAAAAACAAAATAAAATAAAAAATTATATCACCTCCTGATGGAGAGGCTGAGCTCCGATCAGAACAAAAAATCAGAACCGACACAGAATAAGAGAGTTGGAAGGGGGCTTTGGAGGTCTTCTTGTCCAGCCCTCTGGTCAAGCAGGAGACCCTCCATTCATCTCAGAAAAACAGTTCTCCGATCTCTTCTTAAAAACCATCCAGTGAGGGAGCAGCCACAAATCCTAGTGGCAAGGTGTTCCACTGGTTAATTGCCCTCACGGTTAGGAAGTTTCTCATTTGATTCCAGGTTGCTTCTGCTTCTTTCTTGGTTACTTTCCATCCCTTGTTTCTTCTCCTGCCTTCAGGTGCTTTGGAGAACAGGTGGACCTCCCCTCCCCTCCCCTCCCCTCTTCTTTGTGGCACTTACAAAACTTTGCTTGTCGTTTTGGCTGCTTCGCCCCATCAAATCTTGCTGAAAAAAATGTCCTCTTTTGTGCTTGCAGCCAGCCTTTAAATTTTGCATCGAAGTGCCCGTTAAACTACTTCCCTTCCTAAGGGAAAGGTTTGCCCCCCTAAAATCGCTTGGGGGTTTTTTTTGGCACAAAAATACAGGCTTTTATTCCTGCCTGCCCCCCAAATCCATGCCTACTTTGACAGCCTGGGTCGAGTTGCTAAACCCTCCAGCTTTGCCCAGAAAGGATAATTCTCTCCCCCCCCCCCCCAAGCTTGGCAGGAGATGCTTTGCGTCTCCCTGGCACCAAAACTCAGCCTGCTTAGCCGGCTGATTCACTCCTCCTTTCCTTCGCCCAACCGTGCCCAGATGTTGGGCTGGCTGGCACAGCCTTATTGACTCTGTCTCTGCCTTGTGTTTCTTGGCATAGTCGCACACACACCGCGCCCAACGGTTCTGGAAAAGGGTGGCCCCTTCAGACTTCAGAATCGGGGGTTGGTGGTGGTGACAGTGAATAACCACAGTTAATATACTGACACACTGAGTTGTGGTAGTCTTTTACTTTTAGAAAATAGTAAAGCAAAGTCCAATAACAACCCAAGTCATACACAGATAAGGCGATAATTAAAATATCAATTCAGGGATATTCCAAGTACAAAGTCTTCTTACCAGTTGTTGTCATTACACAATAAAACAGTTCTTGAGTTTCAGACAGGAACAAGTTCAGCATTAAAACATTCAATAAATAGTAGAAAAACTACAAGTAGCAATGATCAAACAGTGATCCTGCAGTGAGACCAAGTAGAGAGTAACAGCAAATAAGCAGATCAAATGGTGTACTGTTCTACAAGCCCTGATTCAGGCTTCCCCTTAAGTACATTGGCTACAGAGCTTAGCCAATCAGGATACAGGATGATGCAATACAATCTTAAAGCAATATATGTATTGATAGTTTATATATTGTCTGACCAACTAGTTAGACAATAGCCATTTCCTAACAGGGTCCCCTCACCGTGTCTCCCTGGCCAAACTCGGCACCCCGTTTTTTTGAGACAATGGATTGGTGGCCTCGGTGGGTGCCATGCTGAATTGCATTTTTATTTTTCTTCTTCCTCCTTCTCCATTTCCGATAACGCAGTTTCCCCTCAATAAGTCAAACGGCTTCCAGCCTCTTCGGACAGTGACGTACCGCACCGTATCCATAAGCCAGGTCAGTGCCCGGATTTTTAACTTTTCGTTATTTTAAATGCTTGCCTTTCCCTGTTTTTTCATTCTTAATATTTGTGCACGTTTTTTAAGGTTATTGGTCCACCATCATCATCTTTTAACGACCGCATAATCCCTTGCGGGGTGGAGTCTGGGCAACTGAAGGGAGCCAGCAGAGTATTTTACAGGCCGGATGCTGTTCCTGTCGCCAGTGCGGAGTTTTGTTCGGCAGATACAGAGGTGGAGCTCTCGTCTTACAATCAGGAAGCTGTGAGTTCCATCCTAGGTAGAGGCAGATATTTCTCTCTCTCGGCACTCTGGGAATATATCTGCTGGACAAAACTCCGTACTGGCGACAGGAAGAGCATCCGGCCAAAAAAATACTCTGCTTGCTCCATTCAGATGCCCAGACTCCACCCCGCAAGGGGGTCATTAAAAGAAGATGATTGTTGTAAGTCGAGGTACTCCCTGTACTGTAAGAATACTGGCGTTATTCAAATGGATAATTAAAACCCCTTTCTGAGCTGCCTCGTGTGTTGAGCCAATGGGGTTCTCCACCCCCCGGGATTAAACCCCCCTCCTCTGCATTTAGGATGAACCCACCTATCCCACTGAGGACATCTCCGTCATGCGCGAGACGACCAAGAGGCTCTTTTCAAAACTTCAAGAGGCCGAGAAGAGGCACCAGTCCGATCGCGCAGCCTATGAGGTAGGTGAGCCTGATGAGCAAAATATTGGGTTGCAAATGGAATTTCTTGCAAATTTGCCACATATATTCCTCTTGGTGCTCACTAAGAAAGGATTTTTCGAAATGACTATCGGGAGCATTAGTATTTCCTATATTATTATAACACGCTCTGATGCTAATTAGTTAGATTTTCTACTCCCCCTCCCCACCTGAAAAGAACTCTGTTCCAACTGCCAGTTGCTTTATATTAACATGCTCTGATGCTACCCCTTTGCTAAACCAGGCGTGGGTGTGGCCAGCGCGTGACTCATCCGGCCTGGATTGCCAGTATTGCGAGGCATTTGCACACTAGGATCTAGTCCTGTTTTATAAGCAGGGGGAAAAAGCTTTTTGGGGATCTCGGCAGCCCTGCATTATCCTGAGTTTCTAACTGGGCAGGAAGAGTGTTAAATCCGGATTTTCCTCTTGTGCTCAGACGTCCATCTCGCATTATCGGAGGGAAGCGGAACATTCGGGCATCGCCCTCCGGAAAGCCGAAACGGAAGTGGAAATGAAGGACCTTAAATTGGAAGAATTGCAACGGCTCCTTACCGGCATGGAGAAGGTATATATTCCTCCACCTCCATCTCCTCTTCCTTTCTTTCTTTTTTTTTCTTCCTTTTTCCTTCCTCCCTCCCTCCCTCCCTTCATCCTCCATCTCTTCCTTTTTCTTCCTTTTTTTGTTGTTCCTTCTTTCTTTTCCTTTCTCCTTCCTTCCTCCTCCCCCCCCCAATCTCCTCCTCTTTTCCCTTGTGCCCAGGAAGGGCCTTTCTCTCGTGGAATGGAGCCTCTGCTCCCTTCCAGGGATGGGAACTGTAGTCCAGGGTGACGGGGAGGAAGGGACAGTCTTGCATCCTGGAGGCTGCAAGCCCATCGAGATCCTTGCTGGATTACTCGGGGTGCAAACAGGCCCGTTTTGGGGATGTGCGAACCCCCCGAGCAAGATAACCAAGCGGGAACCGTCGTCCAAGTCTCTTTTGGAGAACTGACTTGGGCATTTTGAGAGAGCCGAGAGCATCTCTTCCCGCCTTCCGGCTCAGCCTCGCCATCCATCCGTCCATCTGTCCCACCCCACCTCCCTCTTCCTCCTCCCGCAGGAGCACCAGATCCTCCTGCAGAAAGTTCGAGACGGCGAAATGCAGCTGGAGGGCCTGCGGAACTCGGAGAAGGACAAGGCAGCCGAGCAGGAAAGGTGAGGCCACCGCGGAGCCTCGGGCTGGGGCGGGCCCCGAAATACACATCTCCAGCTGCCCTGCTTCCCTCGGCAGCCGAGCCCCGGGAACTGATTTGGCAACCCCGCCAATGCCGTTCGGTACCCGTTTTCCCCCGTCGCAGGTCGGCCAAGTTAGAGAAGGAGGTGGCCGGTCTCCGGGAGAAGATCCACCACCTGGACGACATGCTGAAGAGTCAACAGCGGAAAGTCCGGCAGATGATCGAGCAGGTTGGTCCAGCGGCCGAGGACCGGAAGTTATCCGAGGGGGCGTCCGGTTGGGGATGGACACGGGGCTGAATCCGAATTCGGGTCTTTTCCCTTCAGCTGCAGAACTCCAAGACGGTGATCCAGTCGAAGGACGCCATCATTCACGAGCTCAAGGAGCGAGTGGCGTATCTGGAGGCCGAGGTGAGGAGCCGGTTCTCACTTGGCGACGCCGACTAGGTTCAAGGGGGTGGGGGGGGGGGGAAGAACAGGGCCGGGGGGGGGGGGCTGTCCATAACCTTGTGCGGCAGCTGTCGATGGTGCTGCTGCATACCTGGAACAGTGAGGACTAGAATCTTTTCTAAGGATTTTGGGATTATCCTGCAGCCCCTCCTCTCCCCACCGTGTTTTGCAAAGCTGTGCTCTGCTGCCCCCTGGTGGAATGTTTGGGAACTGCTGGACTCTAGGCAGACACTCGATTATTCCAGAAAAGTTGTGTTTGTTTATTTAATTTTATTTATTTATTTAATTTTTTATACCGCCCTTCTCCCGAAGGACTCAGGGCGGTGAACAGTCAAAATAAACATATATATATATATAAAAATGTGAATAGAAGCAATAAATAATAATGAACTCAATTTGGCTTATCAGTTAAGATCTTCAGAATAAAATTTACACCATTAGGAAAAGGAAAGAAAAAAAATTAATTATGCCAGCCCGGCTTGGTGAAAGAGGAAGGTCTTAAGTGCCCGACGGAAAGGACGAAGATCTGGGATTATTCTTATCCCTGGGGGTATCCTGTTCCAAAGGGTAGATAAATAGGTTTATCCCATTTGTGTGTCAGAAAATGTGCTCTGCGTATGTGTGGGGGGGGGGGGGGGGGGCTGTTCTTGATGGATTGAGACCCAGATTTTTGGGGTGGAAACTTTTCTACAGCAATTTGACACCTTGGCTGCTAAACCAGGCGGCTCAATCCTTAAATTTCCATTTAAGGGCAGGCTTTTAAAAACTGCAGATACCTGTTCCGTTTGCAATGCTCCTTAAACATTCTTCTAAGGCAGTGTTTCTCAACCTTGGGAGCTTGAAGATGGGTGGACTTCAGCTCCCAGAATCCCCCAGCCAGCAGTGCTGGCTGGGGGATTCTGGGAGTTGAAGTCCACCCTTCTTCAAGCTTCCAAGGTTGAGAAACACTGTTCTAAGGTTTGTTGCAAAACTCAAAACCTTCCTTGTTTTGAGCATCAATCTAGCGGGTTGCTCTAAAAGTACTTCGTTAT